TTGCTGGAGGTTTGCGGTTCCTCCCATAATTGCTGCACAAGAACCCCAGAGCCTGCTTCCCCTTTCCACTTTCTTATTAAAACAGCTGTGCACTTAGTGTTACATTTGTTTAGGAGCTTTGCCCACTGTAACAATTAAAGTTTATAGGACATTAAAAAGTCCCTTTCAAATGCTAGGATTGGATCTTGGCATAGAAAAAGGACATTGATGGAAAGTATTGGGGAAATCTGAATGAAGTCTGGAGTCTAGCTGGTGGTGTGCACCAAGAGAAGTACTTCCCTTAATGTGAATATACTACGGTTAACGCAGTCAGTAGAATGCGTGAACACTGGAAGATGCCAAGTGAAGGGTATGTGCAAACTTTCCATGCTATCTTGTGACATATCTGTACACTTAAAATTATTCTGAAAGTCTGGGCATGGTGGCTTACACCTGTAATCCCAGTACTCTAGGAGGCCAAAGTAGGAGGATCATTTGAGCTCAGGAGTTTGAGACCAGCCTGAGCAAGAACAAGACTCTGTCTCTATTAAAAATAGAAAAACTAGCCAGGTGTGGTGGTGGGTACCTAAAGTCCCAGCTACTCGGGAGGCTGAAGCAAGAGAATCGCCTGAGCCCAGAAGTTTGAGATTGCTGTGAGCTATGATGATGCCATAGCACTCTACCCACAGCGACAGAGTGAGATTCTCCCACAAATAAATAAATAAGTAAATAAATTCCAAAATTAAAGGTTTATCAAAAAAGGGGGAAAGAAATCACACAAGCACGAAACTTTTGAAAGATTTTTTTTTTGGAGATTAAGTTGGCCCACAGATGCCTCCTGCACTTTGTCATTTTTATCCACTATTAATAAATAGGTTGTTATTTCTCAATGTGCAGCTGGAGAATAGTCTTTTCATCATTTCGTTTAGAGGAAGCTGCATTTAGATTCTTTCCTTTGCCTCCTGCATTAAACGCACATTTCCTTTACGCTTTCAAGGATGCCTCTGCTGGGGCAATTGACACTTCTGGAAACGCCTGTCTCTTACTGATTCCTTCCTTCGCGCCCTTCCTCCATCTTCTGTGTCTTCATTCTGGCTCGTCCACATCTGCACTGGACAGATGCAACTGCAGGCACCTGACCTTTGAACTCTATCTGTGCTTTCTTCTTCCCTTAACCTGTGTGTGTTTACTGTTCTGAAGCTCCAGGGAAAGAGATTTGCCATTGTGTTAAAAAGTTGCAGGTGCTGGCACAGATGTGGAGAGAGGGGAACACTTTGACACTGTTGGCGGGACTGCAAACTAATACAACTTCCATGGCAAGAAGTCTGGAGAATCCTTAAAGAACTCAAATTAGACCTTCAATTTGATCCTGAAATCCCATTACTAGGCCTGTACCCAGAAGAGAAAACTCCTTTTATCATAAGGACATTTGCACTAGGTTGTTTATTGCAGCTTAATTTACAATTGCCAAGATGTGGAAACAACCTAAGTGCCCATTAGCCGAGGAATGGATTAACAAACTGTGGTATATATATACCATGGAAAACTATTCAACCATAAAAAGATGGAGACCTTACACTTTTGTAGTAACCTGGATGGAGTTGAAACACTTCTTAGTAAAATGTCATAAGAATGGAAAAGCAAGTATCCAATGTACTCAATACTGACATGAGGCTAGTAGCCCACCTAATACATGTCCACATGAGAAACAAATTCAATTTCATTCAAGATGGGGGAGAGGGGATGAGGAGGGGGGAAGAAGGGAAGAGGGAAAGGGTTGGTGAGCTCCCACCTCGTGCGCACAGTGTACATGGCACACCTCCTGGGTGCGGGACACAACTACAAGTTGGATTCTAACAAATGCAAACATTGTAACCTAGTCGTTTGTACCCTCATATTAACCTGAATTAATATTAACCTAAAATTAAAAAAAAAAGAAATCTGATCTTTTCTATGTCTGATTATTCCAAATAGGAATGACAGATACAAACTTCTCCAGGAATACAAAAAGAGTTGTGAAAGTCTGAGGCAATCAAGGGTAACAGATGTACCCCCGCCCCATATACCCTACCTGCTTTGAAGATTCTGATATTTGACCATGGCTGGGAGGTTGTATCTTTCCTAGAACCTCAACCAAGCTCTGGGTCTGTTTCCAGGTAAGGTGCTTTACACATTATGGCTTAGTGAGGGATTCGGGAGAACATGACTGATGAATGTTTGAAGTATGTAAACAGGTGGGAGCAAAAATAGACAGCTCCATGTAAGGTGGAGAAAACTGATGAGATTTTAACCCTAACATGAACCACACAACCATACTGGGGTGTGTTCAAGTATTTCTAGAAGTCCCTAGGGAGGACTGCATTTAAATCATCACGGACGGCAAACAGAACCTTCACCAACCAAAAGCCTTTAGGAAAGAACTCACTGCTTCTCTGGGTGGTGCATTTCCAGGCCTTCCAATGCATTAGGCTGAGAAAGTCCTCCCTGGTGTCTGCCGTAGGGTAAGCCTGCAGTGGACTGCTCAAGCGAAGACAAGCAGACCCGTATAACTAATATTTCAATGTTTTTAATGAAACATTTGAGATGTAAAGGATGAGAACAAATTACTGACATGCTAGAGCTAGGTTGACGGAGTCAGGACCTCGAACACGTGCCAAACACACAGGGAGACGGAGGGGCAGCGATGACCCTGACTCCTCCTTCACCAGGTCCAGGCAGAGAGCAGCACCTTCTTGCTACCTGTCAGCACAAGCAGCACCCCTGTGACCTGCTGGACATACATTTTCTATAGGGAGCTGGGACAGTTGCTGTCCTAGTCCCCCTGCCTCTCTGACACACCCTGGGGTAAGCTTTTCACCAACTCTAATTAGGCAAGGGTACCTTCTCCCCACACTACAGAACCAAGGACAATGATGAAAAACTATGCCACAATGCATGACAGTCTTCTCTCTACTTGGGAAAGGATAGCCGATTGGGAGGGTATTGGCATCCAGCCTGCCTGTCCTCTGCCTGTCTGCTGGGACAGCTCCCCTCTCTCCGATATGAGCCCTGGTGTTAGCACACTCTTCTCAACAGGGAGAAAGGCTATAGTAACAGCATCAAATAGAACCGAACCCCATGCAATAGTCCCTTTCATGCCAAAAGATATTTTAAATTTGGAACTTGGAGCTATTAAACTCTTTCCATGTTAGACCATGAAGTGGAATCAAGTGGAAGGCTCCAGAGGTGGAAAGATTAGTGCGATTACAGGACCATTGCTGCCGCGCATCTCACTGCTCTGGGCACCATGAAAACAGTTTTCTCCATCACCCGGCACAGCACTCAGCAGCCACACCCCTCCCCTGCTCGTGCACATGCGCAAACAGCAAGGTGCCGGGCACACGGGACCCCAAGGGTTTTCTCTTGGTGGGCATCAGTACTGTGTACTTTTTACACAGTCGTGTGGTGGATATCTTCATTCTCTGCAAGTGCCTTTGGTCATTCCACTAATTTCAAATAAAAATATTTTCCAGGTGTACTTAAAAAAAAAAAAACATTTGGGGAGATGATGCCATCCCAAGGTCCTAGGTTGGCCTGTCAACACTGAAGACTGAATGTTGAGCTCTAGCAACTTCTAAAAAGAGGCTGAACGTTCATTGATCAGAGATGGTTTAAATTCATCTTGCTAGCCAGGCGCAGTGGCTCATGCCTGTGATCCCAGCCCTCTGGGAGACTGAGGTGGGAGGATTGCTGGAGCTTAGTAGTTCAAGACCAGACTGAGCAAGAATGAGACCCCAGTCTCACTAATAATCGAAAAACTAGCCAGATGTGGTGGTGGGCACCTATAGTCCCATCTACTCAGAGGCTGAGGCAGGACGGCTGTTTGAGGCCAGGAGTTAGAACCAGGCAGGGCAACATAACAAGACCCTCTGTCTCTATAAAAAAATTAAAAAAAAAAATTAGCCAGGCTTGGTGCTGGCACACACCTGGAGTTTAAGACCATCCTGAACAAGACTGAGACCTTGTCTCTACTAAAAAAAAAAAAAAAAAACAAAAACTAGCCGGGCGTGGCGGTGGGGTTCCTGTAGTCTCAGCTACTAGGGAGGCTGAGGGAGGAGGATTGCTTGAGCCTACGAGTTTGAGGTTGCTGTGAGTTATGACGCCATAGCACTCTACTGAGGGTGACAAAGTGAGACTCTGTCTTTAAAAAAAAAAAAATTCAACCAGAAAGTGGCTTGAAAAACAAAGAATACCAAACCAAACCAAAACAAACAAAAGTTCAGTAAGTGATAAATATATACAACTCTAATAGGTAAAAATTATTTGTTTTAAATATTACTTAAATTACGGTACAATGGCTCAAACCTATAATGCTAGCACTCTGGAAGGCCGAGGCAGTAGGACTGCTTGAGCTCAGGAGTTGCAGACTACTCTGAGCAAGAGTAAGATTCCATCTCTACTAAAATAGAAAAATTAACTGTCCCTGGTGGTGAGCACCTGCAGCGCAGGCACCCCGTTCTAGGCAGGATAATTGCTTGAACCCAGAAGTTAGACGTTGCTGTGAGCTAGGCTGATATAACAAAAGCACTCCATCCTGGGCAACAGAGTTAAGACTCTGTCTCAAAAATAAATAAATAAGGCTGGGCGCTTGTAGCTCAGTGAGTAGGGCGCTAGCCACATACACTGAAGCTGGCTAGAGCCTGCTAAACAATAATGATAACTGCAACCAAAAAATAGCCAGGTGTTGTGGCGGGCACCTATAGTCCCAGGTACTCAAGAGGCTGAGGCAAGAAAATCCCCTAAGCCCAAGAGTTTGAGGGTGCTGTGAGGTAGACTGATGCCATGGCACTCTAGCCTCAGGCAATGGAGTAAGACTCTATCTCAAAAAAAAAAAAAAAAAATCAACTGATTTTGAACAAAATGCAATAAAAATTGAGGAAAAAAATAAATTTATCTTGCTTGGCCACAGGGGGAAAGAAGACAGGTTTTAGTGGTCCCTCCCGCCATCTGGGCAAGAGCAGGATTCATGCAGCCCTCCTCACCTCCCCCCAGGCTGCAGGTGGGGGCTCCACTGGAGGGTAGTACTTGGGCACGTCCCAGGCCACTGCCGCCATGAACCACTTGAAGTCCTTGCACTTGAGCTGTTTCCGTAGCTCCTTCTGGGCGGAGATGTCCCCTGTGGACAGGTGCCTGTACTCCGGCCGGCGCTGGTAAATGTACTCAGCAAATTCGTCCATCCAGGTCTCAGCCACCCGCTTCAGGTTCTGTGCAGCAGAGTAAACAAACAAAATAAAACAAAACCCGCATCATTTGTTGACTTAGGCACTGATAGGGTGGTTTTAGTCACACCAGATATTGAAAAAAGGAAAAGATCTTGGCCTCATTTGGATCTGGCTGGTGGCTTATTAACCGTGAGAGTTTTCCTGACTAGAGGAGCCAGAGAGGATGGCCTGGGGCTCTGCCTGTCCCTCTGCTCCTGGCAAGGAGCTCAGTTGTCAACCTGGTAACTAATTTAACAGAGCTGGTAAGGTCTGAGCTGGCGGCTGTATTAGCTTTCTTATCACGTTATTTCGTGGTTATGCATTTTTTAATTTTTCACAGAGAACTGAAGGTGTTGTTGAAGCTGGAGGGAATGAAGCTCCTCGAGGCGTCAAATTGTTTTAAAGCATTTCCAGAAACGGGGACCTTAGAAAGATTGAGAACAGACCCGCAGTCATTCTCTTTTCCCAAGTATGGAGAGACAGCCTGGCGCTATTAAAGTCAATACATTGGGTTCTGACACTTTATGCATGTGCCACACGGACGTGAACCAGCATTTACCACGCGGTAGTTGGGCTCCCCCCGCCCCCGCCT